TTAAAGAAAAGAAACTGGAGAATTACAAAGGAGGAGAGGTAATTATGGTTGCATACCTTGACCTCAAGAGAACAATGCAATTTTTAAATGTAGATTAAGCCTGAATTCAAAAACAAATTTATACCACAACATGCATATATTGACTGCTGCTAAAATTAATGAACTTGAAGAGAAGCCAAATGCAGTTTCATAGATTATTACAGACTGGCCTACCTAGACTAGCACTTAGCTATTCACAAGCCAGGCCAATTGTAACATTGTAAGCTTACAGATGAAAATAAGATTGTTGTTGTTGTAAGCTAGTTGTTGTTGCAGTACACTTCAACATAGCTGTAAACGTGTGATGGCTGGTTTTCAATATTTGTGCACCCAACAGGCTGAATTATTAGATTGCCTTTAAGTTGACAGTCTACAAATTTCAATCAGTTTGCCTGTTCAGATACAAGCATTTCTGCATGTTTATAGCATTCTCAAAATTTCAATGAATGTGCTAAAACATAAACTAAATCTAAATTAAGATAAAAATGTGTAATTTTGCTTATAATTGTTTTTCATTGCATGTATAATTTTTTGTACAATTTTCTGTTATTGCTACTATATTATATAAAATTGAGATCCAAAAATATTTACTATTTCTCACATGTCAGATGTTTGAGACCGTATTTGCTGGCCGCTATATAATTCTGTTGATGGGACTGTTTTCAATCTATACTGGCCTTATATACAATGACTGCTTTTCAAAGTCATTCAACATCTTTGGCACTGCATGGGATCTTAGTGTAGATTGGGATGGCATCAGGTATGTTCAAATAAATAATTTACCACATTTTCTTGATTTGTCACCCCTGGCATTCATTTCAAACTTTGTATTGCATTGGAGACCCGCATTTATTGCAGACTCCTGTTTATTTGAGCCTCAATGTTTAGCACTGCACATAAATCTACCTTCCTGCTCAGCTTATTACTTTTTGTAGAATATATAACGCTTGAAGAGCTTATTGGAAACCCAGCATTATATGAAAACAAAGGCACGCAAGGCGTGCAAGAGTTATTTTTTTGTGCACTAAACGTCTCTGAGATAGGAGCACTCATGGAACTGTTTACAGTAATGATGTGGTTAATTTGACCAGTGTTTTTGGTTGCAATGTACAGCAAGAAAGAAACTGGGAATTTATGATGTACATACAATGTTACATCGGTAATGGTAAGATAACTAAATAGAAAGCCATAAAGTGTTTGACTGAACAAATTACAGTAATCTGACACGTCTCCAGATTAATGTAGATACCATCTTATTTTCTAACAGGCAATTTGATTCATTCTTTGATACAACCCACACTGTGATTGGTGTGACACGCGCACATGCATAACTCCCTCACTCACCGATCACATAACCCCTCCGAACCCCCAAGAGGAATTTTTGCTCAAAAATACTCAAGTTAAGAAAACATTTCGCATTTTATACGAGTTGTAAGTTTACCCTTTTTACACAACACAAGGCAATAACACTTTCTTCACCGAAAATAGAAAGAGAAAAAAACTCTCTGACACGTTGAAAATCTGTTTTAATTAAATTGCACTTTAACTTGGTGCCACGCAGTCTTCAAAGAACATTTGAACAGTTTTCGTACTTTTTACCTTTAAAAATATCAGACTGAAAAGAATGTCATAAAATACCCATCCAATAAAAATATTTAACTGCTACTGCAGAGACGTAAACACTGTCCAGAAATGAAAGCGTCTTTTCTGTTTAATATCCTGGGAATAAGAGCCGATACCTTGTCAGCTCCAATTGAATTTACTCCCATATAAAAAATAAAAGTGTTAAGTTACCATTTGTAGCTAAAAATAGAAAACATCTCGTGGGAACAAGTGGTGACGATTCGTCAGCTCTATTATAATTGAATTTACTCCCTTGTGAAAAACAAGAGTGTCAAATTACCCATTGTAACTGAAATATAAAAATATATCGTTATATTTGCATGCAACAAGAACAAAACAATCGTTACCTGCACTTACTATTGTAAACGTTAGAACTATTTCAAATCTAAATAGTCTCATCTCCTCTAAAACATGTCCTAAGAACTAGAAGCGACGATTCGTGACCTCTAATTGAATTCACTCCTTGTGAAAAACAAAGTATCAAGTTACCTATGTTACTAAAAATAAAAATACCTCATGCCATTTGCATACTATTAACTCATGAACTGTTTCAAAACTCAAGGCTCATCTCGGTCATAACTAGCCACCATTACACTAAGGATTATGCACTCTAAAACAACGCAATGTATGTATGTAACTGTCACCCTCCGCTCCAAACCGGACTAAAAATCACAAACCGGCAACATACATGTCAGTCTTTATTTTTCAGTTACCAAAGTCCTTGTGTTTAATACAATAAAACGCTCAGGACTTCACATACCTCACTTAAGTTATCTTAAACAAAAGTAATTTCCTTTTTCTTCAACTACAATTCGTGTTGGTTATTAATGTGAATAAGCGAAAACCCTGATAACATTGAAGAGAAAAGATTTAGTTTCATTAAAACGTATCTTTGCATTCCAGTAGTAAACAAGAACCATTATAATTGTAAAATCATCGCAGAATAATATCTTTTTGTTCTGTTGACCAAATTAATCATCGTCTCTTCGCTTTTCACATTGAAACTTATCAATGGATACTGAAATTAACGACACGCCTGGAACACTCATTACGAACTCTGCAGTAATATTTAGGTTTCAATACAACACGCCAA